ACACACACACACAGAGACAGAGAGAGAGAGACAGAGAGAGAGACAGAGAGAGAGAGAGAGAGAGAGAGAGAGAGCGAGCGTACGCACATGTACACACATAAACACACCCACGCCAGGGGCAGCTCGTGGGGCTAAAAAGTGGACGTGCACAATTAAGCTATCGCATGCTGAAGATAGTCAAGGGCATAGTAAATGAGACGGTGTATAATTTTAGGATCTTTTGGTTGGTGAGGGATGACCTCATGCTTTTATTTTCATTCTTTTTACTTGTGGACTAAATTTGTTTGTTGGCTGAACACCAATTTCGTTCATCTTGTATTGGAACTGAACACTCAAGTAATAACTTTCACTACTCCACTACAAAATCATTCAAAGGCACAGCTCATAGGACTGTCACGTTCACCTCCCTCAGGTTTACGGTCACAGAGACACTTAAAATAGTGGCAAGACAGACAATGAACCAATCACAATTCACTTGAGCACTCTGCTGGATTTTTCCGGGGCTCACATAATTTTGGCAAAGAATAGCACCCGGTCTATGGAGTATATTTTTAGACTGCCTACTGCGGATTATGTTTCGGCACTATTCGGCAGGAGCACATTTGAGATGTGCCGTCTTATTAATATTAATGTACCGCCAAACTCGCCACGAGTGTCGTCATCGCTTGGGTTATCCCCAAGAGCGCTTTTGTAGGTCAGGTTACACTGTTGAATATCCTATTATGTTTAGCTAAAGTGCGTGGACTATTGCATGGCATAGTAGATATTTTACGACGCTATAGACACAGAAATGGCAGTCATGGCGCCAGTGAGGACCTTGTTTTGATATAATATTTGGCTAGTGTTTGTTTCTGGCTTCTTTTATTTTTTTCTTTCCGGCGTTTAACGTAATAGAACATTTAAAAAATTTGGGTGGCACTGCACGACCGTGCTCTATGGACGAACCGCGCCTGACACACACAGACAAATAGTAATTGGAAGAATAAAATTATATAATCATGGCACAGATGACAACAGCTGAATAGGTCGTATTGATGGTGTAAAAGAATTTTACACCTGTTGGTTCTTCCTTTGTAAAATGAATAAATAAACAAATAGATAAATAAATTATTTAATAAATAAATAAATACATGTAGATAAAATGTGTATCTGATTCAAACCACCAGGTGATCAACGAATCTCTGCGCAGTTTCCCACCATCCCCATCAATCGCCCGGAGATGTTCAGAGACGAAGACTTACGGCAACATCACCATCCCAGCCGGGGCCAACGTCTTCATACCTATCTACAAGATCCTCCGGGATCCGGAGTATTGGCCAGAACCGGAGAAATTCGATCCGGACCGGTTTTCAGCGGAGAACAAAGCCAACCACGACCCTGTGGCTTTCCTCGCATTCGGGTTCGGGCCCAGGCAGTGTGTTGGAAAGCGGTTGGCACTTATGGAAGTCAAAGTGAGTTTTTCATTATGCGTTTTTGGTTTTAATTGCTTTCAAAGTACTGTGTGTCTAAAAAGACGACCCATTTAAAAGACAATAAATCGGTCCTCTTTGCACCAGTTTCAACAAAACTGAGCAAATACAATTCAATCAAATGGACGTAAATTCTGTCAATATGATGAAGGAAGTGTTCGAAAAAAATATCAAATTCTTAATATTTCAACTACAATTGAGGACAATGCAAAACTTTGCTTCTTCTTAAAAGCCAACCGCAATGTGTCTTTCTGCATTAAACTTGATTAAATAAAACATTTATTTGAAACTGGCAGTGCCAAACTCAGGGAAGGTGGCCACATGGCTGTTAAAATCATATTATGCTCCTGGTGTTGACAATTGCTTTTCAGACAAGCTCAAACACGCCGCTGGAAATTTTTAACAACAGTGTGACCTGTTTCTGGGTCGATACTTTGGACCTCTCTTTCAACGTTGAGCTTCGACAGTTCGGTTGTTTTTGGGATATATCCGTAGACTGTCTTTCAAAAGAAGACCAGAAGAAAACATAACATTTTGAATTGGTCATTAAAAAAACACACACAATGACAATGTCAGTTTGAAATAAATTCATTCATTAATTAATGTGCAAATAAATACACATAATGGTTGATTTTTTAATTGTAAAGTTTTGCCTTGAACTCAGTTTTTGTTGAAATTTTAAGTACTTAATATTCTTTTGAACAATTGGTTGATTTTCTTCATATTGATATATTAGACGTCTCCTAGGTTTAATCGTATTTTTACGGAGTTTTGTTAAAATTGATGCAAAGATGACTGAAGTGTTGTCATATACATGGGTCCTCATTATTTTTTAGACCCCCCCCCCCCAGTAGGCCTATAAGGTGTGCAATTGAAGACGCGAAATCTTCATAATGTCCGACTCCGATGGAACTCGATGGCTCAAAACTGCCTTTTTGGGTCTAGGAAGACGTTAAAGTGCATGTGATGCATATACAGTATTTTTTTTCTTTTAATTTAATAACTTGGATAGAAGACGTCTGCACTATTGTCAAGTGTTGTCCCAATAAGGCCCGCAGTGGGCCAGCCAAGTTGAGGCATTTGATTATTATGCCGAGCCCGAAGTGTCGGCGGTCACTTGAGAACACTGTCCTGGTTTTAAAGAGATTAAGGCTCTTGATTTATGGCCCGGTCACTGACCTACGGACGTTAGTAATTAACTGGGGGTGGGGTGTCAGCCCATAATAGGTATAGATGTCAACGAAAGGAAAAGAGATTATCCCTCTGTTGGAGGCAATCTAACTGGCGACCATGGTAGTGGTAAACGGTCTCAATACCACTTCTGAGTACAAAATATCCTTTCTTGTTATAATTGATAGAATCGAGCTACTGATGCAGTAAGCGCCGGCAGATCTAATTGTTTGGGTTTACACCTCCCCCTCCCAATTTCGACACTGCACTGTCACTGAAAAGGCTTAACCTCCATATTTAACGTCCGTCTCCGACATGACTGAGCCAGATGGAAGGGGGGGGGGGGGGGGGGTGTCGTGAACGACCCAAACAAACGGAGTTCAAGAATGTCCCTTTGTGGATTCTGATCAGGGTCATCCCACGAGTAGCATGATGCTAGCTCAGTGTTAACTGTGCGACTCGAGTCCGAATAACGACGGCCCACAAAAAAAAGACCGTAAAAGAAGTAGAGGGAGCAGACCCTTAGATAACGCCCACAAAATGCCCACAGATGAATCTGTAAAGACTGAGGAGAAGCACGTAGACATAATGATTGCCACGTTGTGCTGGATTTTGTTTGTTTGAGTAAAAAGAGGCACATCGACACAATAGTGGTAATTTAGTGCTGAGAAAAAGTAAGACTAAGACAGACAGACAGAAACAACAGGGAGAAAATAAAGAAGTAGGGCCTACAAGTGTGCGAAGAGAAAGCTAGACTGACAGACAGAGGTACAGTGATGAAATAGGGCTCACCTTGGCACTCTTGAACAGGACCACTTACTCTGTGGGGGGATCAGTTTTTGAAACGTAACATGTCTTACAAACTGCAAGATCTCATTTTGGTTTTGTTTTGTTTTCCAGGTGGCCCTCTGCCATATCCTGTCTCGGATGAAGTTTGTGTTGAACGAGCGAACAGAACCAAAGGAAGGCCAAGATGTCAAACAGAACCATTTCTTTGGGTTTCTCATTCCAGAGAAACCCATACACGTAGACATAGTTCCTAGGAAAGCGTAACAGATTGACACTATAATAAGAACAAAATAGATATTGTAAATTCGTTTTTGCACGATGAGGGTGTTTTTTGTACACGTATGCAATAAACACTGACTCTCAAAGCACAGGAGACATAATATTATTGAAGTTCCGTTGCTATAACACTAGCAAACTGAAGGGGCATTAATTGACTCTTGTTCAAATCAATAGTAGAGTGTTCTTGAGTTTTTTATATCTTTTTTTTACCATTCTTCATTTGCTTGACCGAGCTCTGCAAGGGACAGAAGGAAAGCTGATCTTTCAGATTCTGATTATTCCATTGAAATTATTCAGTTGAAAGTGGTTTTAAGCTCATCAAACATATCAGACGTTTCAGACCATCAAACAGATCCTTCAACTTTAAACCTCATTCAAACCCTTCAAGTCTCATAACAAGCAGGACGCAGACCTCCATTACTGCTGTGATTTCATATCCAGTGGAGTCCGCTTCAACCAAATTCTCTGGGACCGCCAGTTTTTGGTTAAGACAGGTTGTTCAAACAGAGGGGAAAAAAATAGTGATTTTATTTCCTTTCAGTTTACCATTGTTTTCGAATTATGAGTGTTCAGTTTAAGCTGACTCCACTGTATGTGTACAGCTGGATTATTGCAGCTTCTGTCTTGTCAATCCAGTAGTGTTTATGTCCATGCCCTTTTGCCATAGTCCATAGCAGAGAGGTACCTCTGATTTGTCAGCAGCAGTTTGACGAATTACAAAAGTCACTTATAAACGGTGATCACGGTCAGATTTAAGCAATCAAGAGTGTTACATTCTTCAGGTCATTTTCCTTAATGTCATGTCACTGAGATTAAAGGGAAGGAATATATGTTACAGTTAATGCTTATCTGACACTTTCACTGTCTCCATTTTTTTTTTCTTCTAATCTTTTCTACATCGTTGTTTTTAAATCAAGAATGCAAAACAAATCCTCCCATGACTTAACAAAAAACACTTACCATTTTGACAATTCCAATGGGAATTAATGGACCGAGACAGATTCAGTGTCTGCTGCACGTGACTTCTTTCCAACAGTTTATAAAGTTGGCAACTGTTTTATAAAGGAAACTTTATTTAACAACACAACATGGTTTAAAGATGTTATTGATATCCAAAGCATGTATGTCATTCATAATTTATGCTGTTTTCACGGAAGTCTCTCGTGTAAAATGTGTGTTTTATGTGATGTGGGCCAATGGTCTTAAACACTGAGTAAAACACCTATCTGCCAGTTAGCAATCTGAGTAGAAAATGTGCTTTCAAGATTTACTTCCAAACAAAAAAAGGTGTTAAAAACAAGAACCAAACATCACCTGGGTACAAACACAATATATTTTAATACAACTGTAAACATATGATGAGTACAACAATTTAAAAAATGATGGAATGTCTTTGACATCCGTGAGTAAAACGTTGAAGTTTCTGATGCAATGAGGTACTTATTTAAGTAATATTGCAAATATAATTTATATGTATGATATTGGCATTAGTCTTACCCACAGAACATCACAAAGGTGAAATTTAGAGCGATTGACCAAACCAACTGCTCAGTATGAAACTCCATCATACGTCACTATTTAAAACAGCATATAGTGGAGTCTTACAGCAAGCAGTCGGAATGTGCAGTTGTACAAGGAAAGAATAATATGAACGGTTAATGATGCAAGGCACTTTCAAGATTGTACAGACACAAAAACTTTGTGCCTTAAGTCACAGAATATTTGTCTTGACAGAGCGAAAAAGAAGCACATCAAAATGGCAACAGTCATTACAATCTGAGCAGACGGGGAGGGTTGGGAAGGAGAAAGGGAAAGTGACAGACAGAATACAAAAATATAAAGAAAAGAAGAAAAAAACTTACTAGGGCAAACACTTACATTCACAGTATATCACTTTAAATTTACTCTGTTAAAGACTCAGTTACTCTGTTCATAAAAATGTTATAGTAAAACAAAATTCACGTTGCACACCCATAGCCAGTGTAACTTTCAACTAACAATTTATCTGCATCTGAATACATGTAGTTACACATACATCAGGGCAGATAGTTGGAGTGAGGGCATTATCATGTATACGAAAAGTAGTTACAACGGGTGACTTGCCACAGCAAGTACCCTAATTTATTAGATACCAGGAGAAAGCTCCACAGCACTTCCTGAGATTCCATGTGATTTGGAACGGGCCCCCCTCCCCCCAAAAAAGTGGAAGGACTTCAGATAAAAACTACTCCAAGCAAATTGCTATACAGTGGAATCCTGTTATAACGAGAGGTAGGAGACCGGCGAAATGTCCGTTATAGCAGGATTCTCGTTACAAGGGATCCAGTAATACATTCAAGGGAAAAAGTAAAGTGGGCCTAATCTATGAGTTTGGCATTCTGTTTATTCCTTTTTGTATTTCCCCTGGTGATGATTTGTTCAACAGGATCTCTAGGTCTTACTTGATCAAAAATAGAATTAGGTTTCTTTCTCTAGCACTAGCAATGTTGACAGCTCGGCGTTGGCGATCAGAAAGAAGGGCCCTGGCTCTAGGCTAACTCGCCCGCTGTGTTGTCCCCCATCCCACCACACCCTGTGGTGCGTTGCGTCTGCTAGAGCAACTCACACATTCACTCCATCTATCACAGCATTGTGACCTCTCCGTCCTGCACCAGAGAAGTCAGAGACACGTTATGCCTAGATAATCTAGACTGGGCTGGCCTATCACGCGATGCGTTCTGCTTGTCTGCGCATGCCACACCCTCCCCACTCATTCGCTCCGGCCTTCATTGTTGGTTCGCGAGGGCTCTCCCATTCTTTGTTTCGCTGGATCACCAATAACTTTCTCAACTAGCAAGGTTTTATAATATGTGTAATTGGTCTGCGCGCTGTGCACAGCAGCAACAATATTCCGTTAAAACCGACTCGCGTGACGGTCTGATTGCGTAATAGCAGTATTTTATTTACAAAGATAAAGAAGGAGAAAAAACGGGGTTTTAGAATAGTGTCTTTATAACAGACTTCTCGTTGTTTCAGGACTCGTTATAAGTGGACTCCACTGTACAAATATAAGTATGATTAGTTTATAAATTCTTTATTATACAGTAAATTGGAAATACCCTGAACTGACATTGATCTCACTGACAACAAGCTGGGATATTATTGAAATAAAAATAATTTGATGATACCATAACAATAAGTACACAAGAGGCTACCACAGAGGAAATCTGACAGAAATTTCATGTCTATAAAACAAAACTGACAACCACAAAGACAATCATAAGAAGACCAGAGCAAAGGAAGCAGGAAAAGGAAAAGCAACTACTCATTCATTTCCCAACAATTGCAGTTTAAAAAACTCAATTGTAGAATGAAACTATGGCATGGGAGATTGCAATATAAGGAAAATGAAAATTGTGCTCAAAATGTTTCACGAATTAGAAAACTTTCATCCATATCACAACGTGTTGTATCTTGAAAAATGTTTTAATTCTGTTGAAGCAAAATTCTTATTTTATTTCAACATTGCCAGACTTTATCTCAGCTTTCTAGGTATGTAATTTTTCAAACATATCAGTTAGACAAACCATACCAGAAAACTCAAAATGCCCATAAAAGTAAAGCCAACCTCCTTAATATTTGCATTAAACAAGCCAGTCATTCTGCTCTATCTTATCAAAATAACGGAAGTTTGATGGCAGTGTAAAGACTGACTTTATAATATCAATCATGTGTCTTTCTATCAGATGCCACTACTATTGAAAGAAATGGAACGACCTTTGTGCTCTACGCTTTCTTCCTGTCACCTTATTTTTCTTTGTCTTCTATTTTCCTTTATAAAACAAAGCTGCATCTGACAGCAAGATTTTCATCCTTTGATGTAACTGAAGTCACTAGCATGGGAAGTGTCCCCTCTGGACGGAAGACAGTCTCTTGCTGTTAAGGCAAACTATGACATTTTTGCAGGCACTCGCTATTATCATTAATTTAAAAAATCAGAAAAATATCAGTACACTGTTGCATCCCTTTGAAGAAAAATGTAAGAATGTGTCACCACTGTGAAGAATTTTGAAAAAAAAGTGGTAGAATCTAGTTTTGCCCCTTCTAAATACAAAGTCTTTGGTCTTAGCTACAGTATGAGTCACCACTCTGAAGCATTTGAAAAGAATCGTCAAGAAAAACACTCCTACTAACAAAACAGTCTATGGTCTATGCTACAGCGCATGTCACACGGCAGACTTGATGGGAGAGCTGGTCTGAGATCCGAACGGTCCGAGGGATGTCTTGTTCCTAAGGTCTAGCTCCTCCTGTAACATGGTCGCCCGTTGCTGTAGGGACGTCACCTGAGACTGCAGTGAAGCAATTGTGTCTTCCAACTCCTGAGGAGGTAATTTCGATTTTATGAGTGGCAATGGAAAGGGAGAAGAGCGTTATGATTAAAACCCCATTGCTGACACACATAGCCCAGTGAGATGGCACTACAGAACCCAGTAATTTGTCTCACATTAATCTAGTATTTGAAGGACTTAAACATAAATACTTCTACATGGAGAGCCTAGCTCCTGACAGACCCAGCTGGAGAGCAGCTGCCATAGTAGGCAGCACATCATATGAGGCTTCACAAACAAGAAATGTTGAAACCAAGAGAGAAGCCCTCAGGCAGCGCACATCCACAAATGGAAGTAGAGCTTTTATAAGTTCAAACTGAAGCAAACTTTTCTCTGCCAGAATTGGTCTCATCGGTCACAGCAGAAGCCAGAAGTCACCTCCTCCATTAGTTCTTCTATTTTGCATGAGAAATATTATCTTCTGTGGATGTATTGGTCATCATCAGACATTGATAGACAAGGTATTATTATAATAAATATAATTATTATTGTTATTATTTAATTCCATTTATGAGTCTAACAAGAGACACTTTCTAAGTAAGATCCTTTGGTTACATGGCGAGTGAACATGGTCACATGAAAGTCTCACATAATGTCAAGTGACAATAACTGTCAGATTAGCCCTTGAGTGAACAACAAAGACTAAGCCTAGCTAAAAAAAAATTAAAAAATCAGGGCATAGTGCAGAGTCACCCACTGACAGTGCATCATTTAGAAAGAGCACATTATTTTGTTGTCCCTTTTGTACATAGAATGAGATTTGTTCATCATTTCTTTGAAAATACTAATTCCATTCCAAGTCAAATTTTTTAAAAGGATGAACAAAGGATGTTCCAATTTAAATCTATAGCCTGGCACTGTGTTTATTAAGAAACAGTGTATTAAGTTGGCGGGTTCACTCTCTAACAATAAAGGCAAAATACTCAACAGAAGACAAAGTTTTTGTACTGGTGCAACAAATCATGGTACCTGCTTCAACTCAGTTGGCATCAGTCCTCGCACTTTCTCTTCAAATTCAAACTTTAACACCGTGACCTGAAAGAAAAAAAAGCATTCTGGGTCTTTTTCAAATCACTAAATTAATGCTTTTTTTGAAGATTATAGCAGTAGTCTATCATGGCCAATTGCCAGTTTGTGTTGTTTTCTTTGCTAGCCTTTGTCATCCACTGACAACCCATAAGGGAGTAGGGGCTTTCGCAGGATTTATGGCATCTCCTGTCCCCATGAGGGTCCCTTCTTTGATCATTTGATGTATGATGTATTCATTGAAGCACCTGTGCCACCAGGATTCTCCTCTGCTCTCCACAACCTTCTCACACTTGGCTCACAAGTGGTCACTTTTAAGGACAAGCGGGCTAACCCAGATTTGGGTTTTTTCCAGAAACCTTGACCTACATCAAAAGTGGCCATTGTCCTACCTATAGGAGAAGTTTGGTTTCATTGGTGTGTATTTTTGTTTGATTATAGAGAAAACTCTCCTTGTCTTTCAGAGAGACAGAATGAGGATCCAAAAACTTTAACTTCGATTTTCGCAAAACAGCATTTATCGGGATAGCCCCCTTGTGCTTAAAAGCCACTAATTGCTTTTTCGTGAACCTCCATCTGTCCATCACCTGGGGAAATGCTGGGCTGAGCATGGGGACCCACACTAATTCTTTAATGGCAATGTGAGTCTTAAGAAAACGTATTTCCATACAAAAAGGTCTGTTTACAAAGAACATACATCAAAGTTATATAAAAAGCTAGACAATTTTTTTCACTGGGGTTTCTGTTTAGTCAAGATAGTCATTAAACCTTTGACAAGGAGGAACTATATACAGAAAACATTGAGAACACATTTCCAAAAGTTGACATTAAAAAGACTTACTCTTTCCTCAAACTCAGATTCTTTCTTCAGGAGATTTCTGTCAGCAGCTTGGGCTTTATTTCTTTGGTTTTCAAGTTCTCTTTGGATTGCCTGGAGATTGGGAACAAGAAATAGAACATTTAACCATATTAAAATGAAAGAAATTTGAAGGGTTCTGTGGCACTCACAACACCCAATAATGCCATGCACAGTATTTGTTTCACACACACTGCAAGGATAAGATGATACATTTGAGACCCAAGCCTTCTAAAGGTAAAAAGTTGTGACTGTACATTGTTGCCATTGTTACTGTTATAATTCAGATAATTCAGGAATTAGTCTACGTCAACTCATTCTGTCAAGACAGGGAAGGGTCATCCTCAACAGTGTGGGATTCAGCATTCCAAAAAAAAAGACAGATGCTCGATAACATTCACCCTTGCTAGCCTTGAACTCACTACTTCTGTATTCAGCAGTGAGGAGTTTAACTACCAGATACACATGGATAATACAGCAATGATAATTAACAATCACACAATAATATTTAGGGCCTTTCAAATAATATCAGTAAACTAAGTCGACTGACGTGGGTCTAGTGCGCAGGAAAGAAAAGAAAAGGTGAAGGGCCCTCCAGTAGCCATCAAAACTTTGATATATATATATGCATCCCAAGGTGAACAATTATAGCTTTGGACAAAAACAAGATGGATAGACAGATACAGCAGTGGAATAGTCAAGAAGTACAGCCTATCACTGGTACCCTCTGACAACTCACTCCACCACTGTGTGATTAAAAACATTAATACAGTGAAATCCGCTTAAAGTGAACTCTTTGGGACCAGAAGAAAGTGTTCACTTTATCCACTTTCTTCTGGTCCCAAAGTGTTCACTTTATCCACTTTCTTCTGGTCCCAAAGTGTTCACTTTATCCACTTTCTTCTGGTCCCAAAGTGTTCACTTTATCCAAGGTTCAGTTAAACCATTTTGGTAGGGTGGAGGCCTAGAAACAGTAGCTACGTGCAGTGGTAGGTCTAGGGTGGAGGTGGGAAGGGGGGACAACACAGCGGGTGAGCCTAGACTAGAGCTCTTTCTTTGCGATTGAGATTGCCGCCACCAATGCCGAGCTGAGATTGTCTGCCAATGCTCGAGGCAAAGAATTTTATTTTCACAGCATGGCGACAGTGACACAGTCGGTCCATTCTTCGCTTTCACTCATTTTAGGCGTTCACTTTATCATAATTCCCCCACGAAACCGGTGCATTTTATCCACTATTTTTTTAACTTAAACAAATAGCGTTTCAATCGGGACTACAGAATATCGTTCACTTTCACCAATTGTTCAAATAAAGCGTGTTCACTTTAGAGGGACTCCACTATAATTCCTTGATCTGAAGAGAAGCTACATACTGTGAGGTTGTGGGAATACTGTTTGCGTAAAGTCTGCTTCTCTTCATCGTACTGTCGCTTCAGCTCCGACAACTTTTCATCACTGCTCTCCTTCGACCTGTTGGGGAAATACAATTGGGTTTGATTTTACTTATGGCAGAAAAGGTCTATATGAAACATCCATAGAGGTTTCAGGCATAGGAACTGATGTCCTACAACTACAATATGCTCAATACATACATGTGAATGGAGGAAGGTAAGTTGAGGTAGTTGTGAACGTGTGTGCGTATGTGTGTGTGTGTGTGTGTGTGTGTGTGTGTGTGTGTGTGTGTGTGTGTGTGTGTGTGTGTGTGTGTGGAGAGGGGCATCAACAAATGGGACACACTTAATGAGCATGTATCTGAGTACAAAAAGGCAGGTGGGCATAATAATAAGAAATATGTACAGAGTAAGTGTAAGAAATGTGCTCTTTGCCCCTTATTGTTGGTGTTTGAGGAAGACTAAGGGAGAGAAATCAAGGAGGACAGGACAAAAAAGAAAAAAATAATGCTATTTAGGAAAAAAATTATGACCTTTTGATATCACCACGCAGTTGTGCCACAACGGACTGCAGCTCTGCCACAGACTGAAAAGAACAACAAAATAGAGTCTGAGAGTATGAACCAGAGATGCCCTAGTAAGTAATTTGAAGTAACTCTAAATTTTTTTTTTTGTGTAGCTTATTTCTGCCTCTGAAGCTTAAGATACAATGGGTTAAAGCAATGAAAAAAAAAACTATTATAAAAAATAAAACAGATAAGATAAATCCATTATACCACGGTTAAATCCAAAATGATCTTATCAACTTCAAAACAGGTATTATTTTTGTTAACTATTGAATAACAAGCCATAAAAATAATTTAATTTCAATATGAAAAATTAATGATTTACATGGCTATTTGTGTCATTTGGTTGTTCAAACTCTTTTGATATGTAGAAGTATTATATAATCTTAAGCAAAAAAAAAAAAAAACATCTTTAAAGAGTGACCAACCTCTGCCGACTTGTTGCCTCTGTCTGCATAATCTTTCTCAATGGTTTTTAATCTTTCATTCGTCTGAGGAAATGAGGAAAAAGTTATCTCCTTTACAAACAAGTCTGCATCACGCACTTAGCATAGTGTTGTAAAAGCACACACCGATAGATTAGCAAGTGACTTTATTTTAGTAAAACATAGAAAATAAAATGGTTTAAAAAGTATATTACAGTGTATAAAGCTATTCTGACAGTTTTTTCCAAAGAAAAATCTGCTTTCCCTCCAAAAATACAACAGCATTGCAACTGAAGATACCGTTCAGTAATTTTCCTAACCATAGAAAATAAGAAAGGTTATTTTAAAAGACAATGATCAAAACTTTTGATTTCCGAGAAATTGTTCTTACACCAAATGGGTAAGAAAAAATAAAAATATGAATCACTTTCAAAATAGGGTTAAGAACTAATAGAATGAAACTGTTCTAGTTACCTTTTCTAAAACCGTCTCCATCTCAGTATTGTGGGACTTCTGCAGTTCTAACCTCTGCTGTTCGTTCTCTGTTCTGATTCTGGCAAACTGAGGACCGCACAAGAGATGAGCTAGAGCACAAACAGCCCAAAATACATTTCTCTGCAGCTGTACTCTTCTCATTATTATGCTTTGCAGCTTTGACCACCCTATAAAAGATATGGCAGCTGGAGGCTTGTTACCCATCACCCCTCGGCAGCCTGTGTACTTCCTGCTTACCCTTGGCCCTGGCTACTACGAGGAGAACAATACAATGTAATTGTACACCCCCAAGGACACTGTTTAGATCATTAAGGATGTGGGTTGTTTTGACCATGCCTGTCAGGGCCAACCTGGGTGGAGAGGAATACAACGTCCCAGCAGAAAAACAGAGACGGAGATTTACTCGATAAAAATTCTCTCCACATGGGAATAAAACTCAGGTCTTTTGGATCTGACAGTAAACTGCTTTATCACTACCCCAGACACCGGTACAAAAGAGATGTTCATGGCATCACAGGAAGGCGAAAAACTATGATTCAATATAGATGTTTTACACTGGCACTGACACATCTATGACATGGGCTGTTTCCATATGGCCAATCTGGGCTGAGGGGAATAATCACCCTAGCAGACAAATACAAATACTCAATAATAAAATAACCCCCACACTCAGGAACCAAAGTCCTGTTTTCAGCATGTCACGGCAAAGACAACTACACCACAGACACGGTAGGCTAGATGCAACTTATTTGCTTGTGATGAAGAGCTGGTGTACAGATATCATATGCTCTCTGGAAAAGTGTAAGAGAACCACCCAAAATGAGTTATATAGCACAGCAATAAAAACAAATAAATTCAAAGTTCAATAAATTGTACATGGAATGGACTTCCACTCAACTTCAACTGACTTTTGGACTGATGCCAACCAACAATAACAATACCTCTAGGTAACACTGAAAAAAAAAAAGATAATTAATAATAATGATAACTGCATTTATATCGCGCATATTTATGCTTTACAGCACGCTCTGTGCACTTCACAATTACGATTATTTTTAGGTCAGTTCTAGAAAGCATGCGTGTCTCACCTCAGCCTCGTGATCGCGGTGCATCTTCTGCTTCTCCTCCTCCCGCAGCAGGCCCAGCTCCACCAGCTGCTGTTTGCGTAGTTGGTTTGCCTGAACAAGTTCCTCGCGCAGCTCTCTGATCAGACGCTCACTGTCATTGGAGGCCTGAATGAGAAACATTTCACACAAAAATTTTGTTTTAGAGGACAAATGATGATAGAAAGGATTAGGAAAGAAAAAGCAGCAGTTCCCTGTTGCAATTCAGGCACAGTCGTGAGCTTGACAACGTTGGATCAGCTCATTTACAATTCTACTGTGCATAAGAACAGGTTAATGTCCCCCCCTTTGGGAATGACCTAAAGACACTTCAGTCTGTAGCACCGCCTTGGGGGCGTACACCTCAGCTTAATGATATAGTGCTACATGTAGCCTGCCATCCACTAACAAAGTCGTGTAGGTTTTTTTATTGAGATTGAGCAGTAAACTACCTACTAACAAAGTCATCTATTTCTTTTTACTGAGATTGAACAATAAACTTCCTTCCTCCACAAAAAACCCCTACACCACTTACCAAGTTGTCTGTTCTGTTTTTTTCAAACACTGACCTTCTCAGCGCGGTCCTGCCTCTCCTTGAGCCGGGCCTCCAAAGCCAGCACCTCCGCTCTGTGTAGATCCTTCAGGTTGTCCATGTCCTTGTCGTGCTCGGCTAGGAGGTATTCCTTCTGCACATGGAGCTCACGCAGCATCTGGGACTTCTCCCCTTCCAGGGACATCTTCATTTCCGCAATCTGCAGACAAAAAAATAATCATTATGACATTAATAAAATAATAACACAAATAACAATAAATACCATGGATGGTTGCAAGTCCTGCAATCAAACCGTAAGACTGTCGACATGCTAAAAAAGATTGACTCAACTCTCTAACCTGTAACTTTCTAATCAGAGTCATATATTGCATGATGCGTTAAACTACTATCATCTCTAAACCTGTAAGAAAAGAAGATTTTTGTGTTTTTGTATCATACTTTAAAGATTATCCAAAAAACCTGCACCTCCTGATAAGATTACTTTCAACATCAATAGTTTCAAATTACCCCCTAAACTGTCACACTATTTTCCTTTAAAAAAAAAGAATTATAGTAGATCTACAATTTGTGCAGTCCAGAGCTCATGTAAGAACTGGTTTACAATTAAAGCGACACAGAATAACCACAACATTATTATGACAAGACAGCTGTGGATGTTCATTGGTAAGTTGGGCCATTGGCACTTAAGTCAAAATGGACTTCTCACAATATCCTCATCATACGCCAGAAACAGATGGGTCTTACATGCAATAACGCATTGCTACCTCAGAATTATAAAGTTCTATCTGCTCAGTAGCTGGTTTTGAGAAATCTGACAGGAAATTTTTTTATTTCACACCATGTCAAGCTTTTTCAAATGTAATTCTTCGAATATATCTTGATAACGATTCTGAATAATCTGACGATAGAGGATTTGATTTCTGACATCATGGTCCTAGTAACTCAAAACGGCCAAAAATGCCAGATAGAACCTTGCAATTCTAAGGTAGTGACAAGTCTTCTGTACAGACAACATCCTGTTGACTGGCTGAACATCTACATTTGAGCATGCAGATAACCCATTGTACATCAAATCTTGAAAAAGGGAATCAATTAGAGTGAAACTTTATTTCACTTTAAGTTATTTACTCAACTCTCATCATTCTCGTACCTCGTGTTGGTGTTTGTATCTGTCGTCCTCTAGCTGCCTGCTGAACTCTTTGGCTTGTTTTTCTCGAGCTTGTTTGGATTTTGTAAGATCAGTTTCCACTTGTTCCATCTGTGGGGAAAGAAACACACAAGAACATGTGAACATCTCCACGGTAATGTCTACCAAAAGCTTATTGAAATAACTGAATTATGTCCCTTACCCACATCCTGGCACAAAGCCATACCAAAATGAACAATTTTCGTTCATTTGAAATTCCTCATTAAGGTGCTATACACTCAGGAAAATTTACTTCATTCCATGGCTGTGAGTATGCAAAGGAGGCAATTTTGACCTTCTTGCCTCACTTCGCCAAAAGAGATGTCAGACTTGGTAGATCAGTGCATATATATATGCCTTAGCGGGGCCGAGCTTAACCCTTCTTCGCACCAAATTCAGGCTTGAGCATGCTGTGGTGTGAACCAAACAGTCATCCCCAGGGAGCTCAGAAGCACAAGTCTTGAAAACAACAAGGGACTGGACAGAAATAGTTTAACCTTCGGTAGATATATGAGTAGAGCTGCCAGCACTGTCAGCAGCAGGAATCATATTTTTAACAATTTTCTTGAGAAGTACTGTTAGCAGCAATCATATTTTATTACTTGGAAAACTGTAGATAAATTATAACAATTTTATGAGCCATGGCCATCCTTATCTATAACGATTGTCATGATGGGTCTGACTGACATAAGCTTATGTTCGACACTAACTATATCGTAGCATAAAGAGATGATAATACAATAAAATTCATAGCCATTGGTAATGAGGGAAGAGTTACACGTTAAACCCCTTCTCAAATGAATGTGACTTTAAAATGAGTAAAGGGAAGCACAAAAATAGATTCATGGTCATTACGAGCAAGGGAAAAGCAAAACAGATCAACAAAAACAATGGTAAAAAGGAGAAGGATTTCCAGTGGCCCAAAGAAACCACCCACTCCTTAGAGTATGGTCAGTCAATTACCTGTTGTTTCATGTCATCATAAATCTTGACTTGATTCTTCTCCACCTGACTTTTGAACTCCTCCAGCGCCTGTTCACTTTGCTGAGCTTGTTTCTGTTTCTCTTCCTTCACTTTGCTCAGTTCCTGCTCTTTTTCTCTGAGGAAAAAGATCCAAGATCCAATCAGAGACTATAGCGGTACACTTGGACTGTAGAGGGAAAATATTATATCAGAGACTTTAGAGGGCAAATATTCAGAGATAAAAGACGGAGACTATCAAATCAGGAACCAACAAAAAAAAACATTAAAAAAGATACTTTCGGCTTTTTGCAATTGCAAGAAGATAAGAAATTGTCAAGATCAGGACAAGGGGAAACGATACATTCAGATATCAACTACAACAACTGACACAAACAACAATAATGCCGTCAGGACGCAATTGATGTCACAGAGAACGAAGAAAAACACACTTGAGATTTTGCTCCATTTTTGTCAATTTCTTGCTCCAGTCTGTATCCAGTTGCTCCATTTCTTTCTTCATATTTCTGATCTGAAACAGAGTAGAGAAAATTATTACTAATCTTGTCATAAACAGAAATGTACAGAAAAAGTCCATGTGTCACAGTTGTAAGGAGGAGGAGGAGGAGGAGAAGAAGAAGAAGAAGAAGAGTTTTAGTTTCGCAACGTTTTTATGGCGCTTGCAACTGCATAAGGTCATATGAGTGTCAAGGGGTGGATGTCGACAGAGAAATCCAAACGGGGAATCATGCTTTCTCTGCTCACCTGTCTAGCCTCAACAGCACAAAGTCTGCTTCGACTATCAAGGCACCCGGAAATAACAGTTCACAAGAGAGTAACAAACATACAAAAGAAGTAGAGGAAAAATGATGAAAGTAAGGATGAGGCAAGAAAAAGCAGCAGTTCCCCTATGTTGTTTCGGAACAATATGAGCTTGACATTGATAAGCCAGCCCATTTACAATTCTACTGTGCATATGCCTGTCCTCAGAGAAATTCGCGCCCGCAACAAGTTGTGCGCGCAACTTTTGTCCTCAGAGCAACTTTCGCGCAACTTTTACCATTTTCGTGAATTCGCGAATTTTAGCCAATTTCCCGGAAAATTTGGGAAAATAATAATAAAATTTCATTAAATACACCGAAATTTTCTTCCACGACTAAAAATAACGACGCCAAGGGGGACAATTCGCTCCTTTGAACTAGCCTACGGGGTGCCCGCCGCCGCCCAGTGACCCGGGCCGGGTCAGGTCGGGTCGGGATGATCGCCCGACTCGTCGCCTGAAAACAACGTGTTTGTTTTGAAACAACAAGTCGGGCACGATCGACTTGTACCACAATAGCCACTTTGCTGCACTTTGCGCCATCAATCTGGCGAGCAAACCAACCCAATGCCAATAGTCTTGTTTGGACTGAATCATCTTCTAGTCTAGCTAGATCTAGATCTAGATCTAGAGTAAATCAATCGTAAACACGGTCGTCAGATTATTTAGCTTGCTTGGTTCCGTAGCACCAGGTAGATAGATCTAGTATAAAAATTTGTGAAGGACTTTAAATCTTAGGCAGAGGCTATATATAGACATTCATCGATTCATCCAAAAACCCCTAAATCAAATAATATCATCTTACGCCTGGAAAAAGGGGAGGGGGGGGAGCCTTTGACCCGTAAAAGTAAAGTGCAAGAAAGGGGGGGGGGGTGGTGGAGAGGGTGAACCAATGTAAGATTACGCCTTTGTAAGGTGAAAAAATAATCAAGGAAAATATAATTTATGACAACGTAATTTTTAAAAATAACATTATAACATAAAAAGAGAGTTACTACACTATTCACTTAGAGAGTAAGTTCGAGTGGCGATACACGTGGACCTCGAGCGGCAAGCACGATATTGATATATGTGAGACAGTGTGGTGGAATCAGGCTCTCGTCAAAATAATCAAAGAGAAGAAACTTGCACTTTTCCGCAGGTTTGTCAATTTTTTTCACATTTTTGTTTTTTGGCTCAACACCTTTTATACCCATTAAAGAACTCATTTATGTGTGGATTTTTCTGAAAAACGTTGATTAAAAGTACAAAAAATGTAAATGTTTAGTTACCACGGACTCTTAAGCTAAGGATATAACTAATCTTTGGCGGCCATTTTTTCACTAGTTTTGCCTCTGAAAACAGGTGACTCCCACCTCCTTCTTCCGCACATATCTCGACTTGTATTCAAGATAAATGGATATTTTTTCATCCAAATAAAGACAAGTAAACAAGCTTTAAGATGATACCAATAACTCTACATGCCCAAAATTTGAGAGGGAAGAAAATTGTAAGGGGGGGGGGGCAAAAAGTCCCAAACAAAGTGTAAGATTATATTTGAACAGCCCCAAAACCACGCTGGTCACACCTTCCCAACGTCAACGAGAGTTTAAGGACCTGACGCTTGTGTCAGGGGACAAACTGTTTTTGTACACCATGCAACCTCCATACTCCATGCAGTTTTTTTTGGGTTTTTTTGTTTGGTATACTTCTGATTTTGATCTAACAAAACTCATGTTGGTTACTTTTGATTACAATGAGCATAGCAACAATGCATTCCAATAGTTCCGTGGCATTGTTTTAGCTATGTTTTGCAACTTTTCTTGCAACTTTTGCTAATTTTTCTTGCAACTTTTTGCAACTTTTGCTATTTTCAAATGCAACTTTCTCTGAGGACAGATATGCATACGAACATGTTAATATCCCCCCTTTGGGAAAGACCTAAAGACACTTCAGTCAGTAGCACTGCCAGAGGAGGAGGAGGAGAAGAAGAAGAAGAAAGAGAAGGAGGGATAATGTGAAAATAAGCAGTCCTTTATATTTAACTTTTTCAAACCCGCATAATGTCACTGACTTCAGAAACATTAGTGTCAGCACCAGTATGTGAAAACCAGGAAACACTTGTTAGGGAAAGAGGTAAACATGTGTGTACATGCTCTATCTCTCTCAGAATTTGGTCTCTTCATTGGTATATCTCTCTCTCCCTTTAAAGAATGTGCATTATAGTGTGCGCGTCTTGTGCGTGTGTTTGTATGTTTGCTCATGCGTGTGTGACAGTACGTGTATGTGTGTGTGTCTCCCTGTCTGTGTGTGCATGAACGTTTGTGTCTTTCATGTGAGCATGTGTGTGTACTTGTGAGACACTAATATAGAAGTCATTCCAAAGACAGAAAAATATATAAAGCAATGCAATAGACACATATTTCCATCCCATGCTGGTCATCATATCACACAGAGAATACTCAATCAGAATTTTGATATGTCTCAAAGTGACTCAAATATTCAATCTATCTGAACTACGCCTACAGCCTCACCTGTTTGTCATGAAGGTTCTCAACATGCACTTTGTCTTGTTGTTGCCCTTGCTCCAATTCCTGTCATAATAAAGTTTAAAAACAATGTCAAAAGGTAGTGGAAGGCGTTATGGCAAAGGCCTTCTCCAGTTTTGTCAGTATACATATGAACAATCACAATAACTGGTTGACAGTACATATGTAAAGAGCTTCAATCTTTCCTGCATGTATACGCTGTCTTTCTTTTAAGCAACAATATCCAACCATTATTGTACTTCACTGCTTTTCTTTAACACAGTTCAACTGTTGGTGACTATTCTGCGGAGGTCTGCCCAGTCTATTTCTTTTTTAACGAAAATATTATCTGGACCCCCAAAAATGGCCATTCTCGCGTCAACTATCTGTAAACTACAACTCAGTTTAAAATTAAACAAAACAACCAAAAGATTAGAACGAAAAAAGCAGGTCATGAAATCTCTGCAGGCATCTTAATAATTTGATCAACATTATGCAGAGTTTAAGAACATGAACAATATATAATGAGCTGGAAATTATATATTTGAGTATAAATTTTATTGAAGAACACAACAGACAAGATAACAGATCAAACCAAAATCAGATGTTTATTGAGAATAGAAGAGCTCCAGCCAAATTTAGGATTTACAAAGTCCATAAAATCAAAAGATATAACATTTCTTTTCCTTTACTAAAAAACTATCACAACATTCATAAGACTCAAGCAATTGGCTATTAATTTGTTTGGACACTACAAATATTTATCACACAACACGAAAAGAGAGAGGAGTACCGACCCTGATCTGTCTGTGCCTGTGATCTTCAGAGTCCTTCAGAGATTTCTTGAGCTGATCAACTTTCTCTTCCAGTTCTGATATTGAGTCGGCAGACTGGAACAGACAATATAATTAACAATATAGAAAAAAAACCTCTGACTTCAAAATTCCACAAACAGTCATATATCAGTCATATATATGTGTTAGTGTATGTTGTAAACTATATCATGGCCTTCCTCAAATTTTACTTCTTCTTTTTCTGTCTTTGACTATGTTAAAAATATAAAAAATTATTTTTTGTCTTTATGACTTCTCCAGAGCAGGAAACATAAGATAAAAAAATATGCCTGAAAATAATAGGATGAACTAGCATCTGATATGAGTCCAGAAAATTTGACTATATTTGACTAAGATGCAGAAGGTATGAAAGAAAATTACTCGTAGCGACTTTGAAGCCTGACATTTACGTATTCCTGTTTTAAAATTCATAATGAAATCTACACATTTACTGATGATTTGTCCACTCTGTCACCCCAACAGTCTCTAAGTCTTGGGCTATTGCAAATAATCTGATCTTGTAAAGAGAAAACTTTCCTCTGACCTTGAACTTCCCAGTTCAACTGACCTTGCTGGCTGCCATAGTGTGTTCCTGTTTGAGGAACTCCAGGCTTGCCTCAGTCTTATTCTTCAGCGTCCTCAGCTCATGTTCGTGTGTCTCCACAGCAACCTGGTACTCCCTCTCTTGTTGACCCATCCTGGAACATTGGCAGGCATGTTAAGTTGTTTATAAAAATTCTGTATAAGTTTTACCACCCCAACGACACACTTGGATTATTCAGGAGGCGGGTTGCTCCGACCCTGTTTTTCAGGGCCTACCCTGGCTTAGAGAGATAAACTATCCCAACAGAAAGATGGAAATACACTTCGTAGTAAAAGTTTTATTATGAAACAGAAGGGTGTTTTTTTCCCAGGGGTGATTCTGTAACTTATGACTGATTTTGCTTTATGGTTCGGTAGCCAAGAAAACCTCTGACTCTACTTTTTACTATAAGCCGAGAAGGAATTGGAGGAGCTTAACCCTTTGGTTTCATAAGCACACTTTCACTCTTCTGTACACCTAACTCACACTTGAAGATTTGGTGGTCTAAATCTAACAGTCCACCCAGAGGAACTCCAGTGCAATGGTCATGTATGCTCAGGGGCCTACAGCTGTAAGGATTAACTGTTACTGCCATATAAACTTCTTGTTTTTGACAAACTACAAACACATTTGAATCATCAAATGTCTTAGAAAGATAGCCCAGAGGTCAAGAGATTCTCACCAATCAATATTGGTAGTGAAAACCTTTACTTGAGAGACCATTGCAAAATTATATCCTTGAGCAAGATATGTTAACCCTAGCTCAGAAAGGATGCAGCACTATACTGTCTAGCAATGGAAAATGGTTTGTCATTATGAAAAAGTTATTACAACAATCGATTGTCTTCCCTTCTCTTCTTATTGCTTTCTCTCGGTTGAGCAAATACCAAGACAAGGTTAGAGAGCCTGGTGAGTGACCTACTTTTCCTTGAGTCTTTCATGTTCCCCTGTCAGTCTCTCCAGCCTCATTTGTGTCTCATTCCTCTCTTTCTCCACAGCTGACCGCTGGCTTAACGTGCTGTCCACTTCATTCATCAGCTGCTGGACTCGACTCTCCAGCTCTTTTATCACATTCGTCTGGGAAAAAGGTGAGAAGTTTTCAACATTTCTTAAAACACTTTACATGAAAAAGTCTACAAAAAATCTAGTAAAGGATACTTATTTTCTCTAGCTTGTCAGAACGAGGACGTTACAGCTAAGAAATGAACTCACAAAACTGCTCATAATTTTAATAGCTTAATTTCATTTCAAACTGTGAAGCTAACACTTTTTGCACAAGAACTGCAAAAACTAGTGAAGAAGGAAGGATGCTTTCCAGTGAAATTAACGCAAATGATGGTAAATTCGTTTTTGAGCTCTATTTTTATGAACAAGTTATCCAAAGACCAAATTGTAGTTCTGGTAAACACTGAATGCTATTAATAATATCAATTCATACCAGAGGAAGTAGGAATTTTTATTTCACTTTTAAATACTTTTAAAATAATAAATTTAGATGCATACGACGCTACAAAGCAGAAGAAAAGGAAAAACTGACTGTGGAAGTAGTTTGCTGACTGTACTCTGCCTCCATACGTTGCAGCCGACTGTTTGTGTCATCAAGGATTTCTTGGATGTTTTGAGTGTGTTGCTTTTGAAGGTCATATTTCTCCTGCTCAAACTCAGCCATGACATCATGAAGCTATGGAAAAAAAAAGAGGATTATCAATTTTTGATTCCAGTTTGAGGGTGAATTTTCCTCTATACATGAGGCAACTTTAAATGAGGAGGGTGTAAACAAACATGCGTCATTTTTTGAAAAATCCCTCAATGACTGAGATAACTAGGCTAAAAAATAAATAAAGTCTCGCAGACTTGGGAAAACATAATTTGGGGTAAGCGATCACGATTTTTCTCTGAATTTTTAAATGGGACCTACTTCTGGATACCCTGTGTATTACACTGAAAAGGTACCACTGACAGAGAATAGAAGCTGCAAATACTTGACCGTCATCCAGTTACGACAATGGTCTGAGTCGGATTTTGGCCAGATTCAAGATAACCAACTTTGTACAATGATCACCCATGTCATAAAACAACAGAAATAAAGAATAAGTAAAGAAATTCCCCCATGTTCTAAAACAGAAGTCATTATGGCCTGAACAAAGGAAATGCAAGATAGAAGAAGGATTTTGTTCTTTATTTTGCCAAAAGTATGATAAACGACTTGCTATTATAAGCTACCACATCAGAACTCCACCCCTCCAAAAAGCAAGGAAAAGCATGTAGAGTGTGCTTGTGAACATTATTTTCAACCTGTAGAAATTGATATAAAGAAACTCAGTTGAGAAGGACTGAAAAACTCACCCGTTTTTCAAATTCACTTCTTCTGGTTTCATTAGATTCATCCGTCATTTTCTTAAGCTCAGCAATCTGTTTATCCTTGTTCTCTGTAATGTATTCTGTCTCTTTGATCAGGGCTTGAACTGGAACAACAGAAAACATTGGCTTAATCTCTGCTTGTGCTTTCAACTTCCACTTTCCATACTGGTGCTTACTGGGAAGTTAGTTCATTTGAAAGACTTTGATTTAACATTATCATGACAAGTATAAGACACTTAGAGCATTTCTTACCCAAAAAGTAACAGCTTAAAGACAGATCAAAACAGACACACAAACACACACTCACATACACAAACTTTGACTCACACACATACTAATATATACTCACACAAAAATACACGCAGACACCATTGTAAAGACAAATAGTTTAAAAAACCATCTCTACTTTCTTTTGAGATTTATTAAAAATTCATGACCTGCTTCCTTACCTTTTCTCTCCAATTTGGCAATAGTGTCCTCCATTTCTTTGCTCTTTGCTCTGTAGTGGTTTTTGACATCTTCAATTTCTGTATTCTTCCTATCTAAAATCTGTAACAATACACAATAAAAATGTTCAAAGAGAAAGAAAGTTACTAAAAAACTACAGAGATCCTAAAAAGGTCATAAATCAAAAGATAACACTTTTTCACAATCTTATCAAAGGAACACATTTGATTTTTCTAAATTATCCTTCATAGTCTTGCTACATATACGAAACAGTCCAAAAGGCTGCATTTTTTTGCAAATGCTGTTATAATCTTTCCCTTTGTTTAATTATCACAAAGAAGTTGTTATTATTTAATTCATGTTTATGAACCCTTTCATACACGTAACAGTAACAAGCTCAACATCTCTTTTTAATCTCAGTTTCAATAGTTTTTCAAAACTCTATTTAAGTAATATACAAAAATGTTAACATTTTTTTTAAAAAAGCAAAATATTTTGTAAAAAAAATTATTGAGAGATAAGATTCCTCTGAGTTTAACACTTACAGTACTGAAGGCTCATTTAGGGAAAAAACCCTTGGGTACCGCACCAGTTTAGAACGCTGAAGCCGTGGTAGAATTTATTTTAAATTAGAAAAACCTTGGCAGCCAAAGAAACACGCTTTAAAAATTCAGAGAGGTTCATCAACCATTCAGCTATCATAAAGAGTGACTTCCTTTGGTATTTACTTCAGTGCAGTGTGTCCATTCGTTGTTTAATTACGTTTAGTGTGCCTGGTTGCGTCGGCGACTTGCACATACTACGGCCTGGTAACTAAATTCACCGACGGTACTGTAAGTGTTAAAAGTATAAACATCATAATCTGTGGATATGTCTGCCACAGACCAGGAGGCACAAAATCACAAATACTGACCATTCATCTTGGGACACCTTAAAATTAACCGGCAAAGGACAAAAACATACTTCAAATGTTTCTTTAAAAATGTTAATACAATAAATTGTATCAATCTTACAAAAAAAAAGCTAAGAGGAAACATTCAGTAGATATGAGCACTGCCCGCTGTTTACACATTTGGCTAATCAAAGTTGTGTTGGGTAGTGAAATATGGGTGTGAGGCCATAAATCTTGGTACAGGTACCATTCCATCACATTCAGTCAAGTATCTCCCAAATACAAACACATTTCACACACACATACACGAACTTATTTGAACACATCTCCCACTCCACATGCTAAAACATCTCCCACACACACAAACACACAAGCCTCACCTTCTGAACAGCAGCATCATGCTTTTGCTGCAGTTTGAGTTTCTCTTCATGAAATTTTGCTTCGATCATTTTCGTTCTCAATGCCACCTGAAAAGACAATCAGGTGCAAATAAACATAGTAAATGATATAATAGTGTTCCCATTTATTATAGCATATCCCTCCTACAAAGTGGGCTCCATATGCACTTAACATCTTATTAAGATCTTAATACCATTACATCTCACTTCAATACTTCAAGTACCACTATTCTTGTCATGCCCCATTGTGGCCAGAAATATCAATAGCCCACAGTCTCTCCGACATAAAGAGCAGTGCCCTCTCTGGAGGGGAGCCACTGATAAATCACAACCTCTTTGGTACAGAGTAATTTGTCTTCTGCCCATCTCACTTTCATGCCAATTTGCTGACCAGGTGTCAATCCTGTCTGGCAAAATTATAGAACCAAAAAACTGAAGTGTGGGCCAGCTCTGTAAATGATCTATTTATGTTTTAAAGGGCTTTTAATTTGTACAAAAACACAATTCTTGAAATTACTTTGTTAAAAAAAAACAACAATAAAAGAATAACAACATAAAAACTAATGAGTTGCTCCCTTGAGGGGTAATAATTCTTTATTTTCTCTCTGTCATCTCAGTCTGCTATGCTCTTTCTCAACACTAAATGACAGGTCTCCTGTCTGTTTGCTTCTCTTCACTCAAACCTCAGTGGTTCAGCAGCATCTACAGACTTTTAAACCACAACATAAAAACTATTTAGGAAAAAGGAGCAGCTCATTCTGGACAGCACAGTTTAGTAACAATAATCATACTCAGGAGCAAGCCAGAAGTTTTATTTTAGGATGGAAAAGAATCTCCTTCTTTTTTGTAGATTTATTGGCAACCCAACAATTCGGCTATAGACCAAGTAAGTGAAATTTAGAATAATTTACTTTGTCTGCATAGAATCAATTTGAAAAACTTTTAATGATTCTTTTAAACAAACATTATTAAGACATTATTTTAATGAACATAAGACATGACGTCAAGAGAAAAAAGAGTGACTGAGGTGAGTAAAAAAACTACATTGGGGTCGCTCATTTTTTCGTGAGACAGCAATAACATGTTCTGCAAGAAAGTAACTTCATTTTAGTACAGCAATATTTTTCAGTGAGTACCTCTCTGTCAGAAGGTTTACTGTACGATGGCTCATCATAGAAGGTGGTTCCTGTAAAAACAAACAAACAGACATAACATTTTGATTAATTCTTATCACTTAATAATTACATCACCAGCAGCTTCATTTTCATTCTGAATTATGTCAGAGTTTTTTAACCGATGAGTGCTGAAATATCTTGAACTTTCTGCACTGCGGCCATCAGCAATAGCATGTAGTGTGATAATGCGTCCTATGTGATGTTGAAGTAACTTCTAAAGTAATGAATATATGCATTGCACAAGCTTTTGTAAAATAAATTTCCCCATGGGGGTTCAACAAAAAAAATGGTATTTTAAATATGTGGTGTAGCCATAATGAGTTATTAGCTATTTACCAACACAGATTAGTTTGCATCACAAACCACTGCCAGCAAGCATATTATCATACCAGCAGCTTTCTTTCTGGAGGGTTCAGAAGTCTATTAAATTTTTACTAAACTTTCAAAAAATATTTCAGTTATTCTTTCTCATGCATATGATCTCAATTCTTAACTAGCATTGTTCTTACTACAGCAAAGCATGCTCAGAAGGAAAATAAAACGCGTAACTTCTGGTTTCAAGCGATGACTTTGATGAAACAAACCAACCCTTATTGGCAACTGTGATGTAAACACGCTCTTTCACTATAGTGCATAGAAGATGTGAGTTTGGTTATCACACGAGGCAGCTATTTTATTGAATAGATCCATCTGTCTTCTTGAATATTTTATCTCATTCAGCCAGAGTTCAGGGCTGAAGCAACCCCCCCCCCTCCACATAAAGATCTAAACCATGTTTATGGGTGCTTAAGAACTTTACAATTACAACTATGACTACCAGCTCTGACCTCATCGCATTAACACTGAGTAGCTGAATTGTACTACAAGAGTACTTTCAAACATTAAATGTTTTACCCACAGAAACACCATCATCTCACATAACAATAAATCAGCTATTGTGCCAGGAAGGGGATACCTTTTGGCAAGGAGAAATTCGATGTCACTGAAGAGGAAAAAGGCTTGCTCCAGTCTGTGTCATTTCCAGTCTGAGGAAAACAAAAATCCCACTTTTAACCTTCAAGTGTTTTACACTTATGGCTCAAATGATATTAAGGGAAAATAAAAGATCAGCTCCCACCTTCTAGCTTAGTCTGACTATAGGGAAGCTAATCGACGCAATAATAGTCATTATATGCAAGGTTAAAATCAAGCCTAAATATCAGAAAGAAAAAAACCCCAATCTACGCTCTACTTCACGTCGCAATAACAGTTTAGGGTTATCACAAATCTAAAGCATTGTTTGAGAAATCACCAAAAGAATAATTGTTTCATATGCTGAAGGCAGAATCATCATTGCACACACAAGAACATTTGTGCATGCATACAGATAGACAAACAGATACACGTACATACATCAAATACACTGTAAGAAACAAACTTTAATATACTCATGCATGTAAGCATACGCACGCAAACGTACACACACAAACACACACTCACATACACACATTTATATACACATTTGGCAACATATTATTTCTCTTTGATATTCATTCTTAAATATAAAGATGAAAAAATAGTTACATGATGCTCTACTCATTGATGTAAGCAGCAAAATAACAAAAGGGTGAACAAAATATATATGAAAAGGAAGCATTAAGAACGAACAGGAGATGGTCTGTGTTTGTGGATTTTTTGTTGCTTTGTCAGCAAAATATCAGACAAAAGAGTATGTAAAAATAGAAAACAACTTTATGAGCTTAAACTCCAGCTGGTAAAATTAAATTAATAGGAGGTGATGAAAAGGTTTCCAAACTGAGAGCTGAAATAAGACTAGCAGTAATGCAAACATTAGTCCTGCAAAACTTCAGTCGTTCATTTCAGTATCATGGGAAAGAAGGACACTATTAGATAGACCAATTATTCTTTTAGACAAAAAAAACCCCTCCTTACAACTAAACAAAGCAGTTAGATGAATTGTTTTATGTTGAAGAGAGACTGATTGAAAATCAGTATTCTACTCCATCTATTCTTGCTGATTAGAAAAGAGAAGAGATCTTACACACAATTAAATATCACATTTAGGCAAAAGATACATGAAGACGAAGTAGAATTAACAAAACAACAGCACAATGCCAATCAAACACCCACACTTATCCTAGACACAAAGAGACAGATTCCCTGATCAAAGTCAAAGTATATGTAAAGGTGGAGATCTTTTATACGGGCATGATAATTAAATGATGCTCTGACACTGTATTGTAAGCCAAGTAGTATTTGCTCTTAATATGTTGAAATAAAGCAACTGTGCCTGACTACAGTTAAGACTTAAGACGTTAAATGTTTAAGTAATTTAGAAACATATAAGTTTTCCTTTTTCTCTCTCTTGAAAGTCTCTTCAGTAATTATTTGCTTATAACACAGAAAAGAAGAAGTAAAACTTTAAAGCAATATAGTCCTGTTCACATTTATGCAAAACAAGACCTCACACAGAAATATAATGACTATCGCTATATGCAAAAACTGAAAACCTGATTTTGATGAGGGATAGTACAGTATCTTTTTCGCTTCTAGAATTGAATAAACTTAAAATGAAGGGTGGAAGTAGAAAAGAAACGTTAATACAAAACAACAAACAGATGTGCAATGTGATGATGTTAGTGGAATAATTGTGTACATGGCTTCAGTCTTCAGAAACGAGAATAAAGGAGGGAGAAAAAAGACAGAACATGCTGACTGAAACTTGCAGGCTTGAAATATAAAAATATCGTAATTTGTAAAGGCAATATATGTTATTAAAAAATACAATAGGAACCATGACAAGAAAAATGGTTTTAAAAAAGACACAATAACTACAATCTACAGCAAGGAGCAACAATACAAAAAGCCGAAAAAATAACTTATTCAAAATGTTAGTAATGTAGTAAATGTTAGGATATATTGCATTACATATATGACAAGCATATAAAGTTACAATCACAGATAAAAGTTAAGTCAGACACTTTCAGAACTCCAATATGTCACGTTGAGGACACTGCGTTCTTAACCTATTTAAGACTCATTTTGGCAAGACATCAAGTTCATGTAAAAAAAAAAAAAGACACGATCTGTTACAAAGCTGTAGGCATATGTAAAAAAGAGGACAAGAAATTATCAAGATAGACATATTAGTTTTAAAAAATAAGCCATAATTGAAATTGAGGGGAAAATGTGTAAAACAGTTGAGTGGAGGTTTATCCTAACAGACTGTAGTGCTACATTGTCAAAGTTGTGGTAGACTTACGTCCCTGTGCCTGTGGTCTTCTTTGGGCTCTCTCTGCCTTACATCTGAGGTGAAGGGTTTAAATGTCGTCAGGACCATAGCCATATGAAGGCACTATGTCAGTCAGTGAACTATGTTGTTTTTTTTACAATTGAAAAAAAACAACCCATTTAGCCTGCTTTAAAGACCTCCCGTCCAAAATAATCACCTGTAGAAACAACCACTTCTCTTCTTGCGTTTTGTCTATATTATAATGATACTGTCCAACAGGAACATCTGTAACAGATTGTTACTTTTCTCCTCGACAACAGGCGGAGTTCTTGAGCCAGTTCAATTGTACTTCAAAAATGTTTACAGAATTTAAAAGCTGAAGTTACAAACTATACTGTCCACACACACCTTCACCGTGGGGCATTGACCACAGACCAATCAAACACAACATTGAGATTTGAAGGGACTGAACAAGGCCTGCTACAAAACACGAACTCTGTAGTGAAGGTTCATGATACCAATGTAGGATCTCTTTCGGCCTACTTTTTACACAGTTTCCAAATTTGTATCACAGAATTTGTTATAACAGACAAGATTCATCATTACCAAATATAGCTAAGGAAACTTTTCCCTGGTACACTGAAGCCCACTTCAAAGCCTAACTATTCCATATCATTTAGGTGACTTTTTTTATGGAGGTCTCTTAAAGACAGATAAATACTAGAAACATTCTTGCATTCCAACAGGAAGTCACATTAAGAAGAGTAATACAATTTCAAAACAGCTATAAAATCTTCTTCTTTACATTGTTGATGACACTTCACAGATAGGACAGAGATCTAGGTAAATAGACAAAAGGTAGTCTCTCTCATCTATAAGGGCCACAACACGAGTCATCAAAAACCCATAATCAAAAAATGTAATAATTACTTGAGACCCAACAGGGTGAACTAAGCCCTGAATGCAATTTATTTATGTCTAACACTAAAATTAGAATCTGTCCAACGAACTTAAAAAACCCCAGACTGCTATCAAAAACAACTTCACATATATCACAAAGATACACATACTCTATAAATGTCATTGTGAAAGTTTAAAAATCTTTCAGTTCCTATCTGGATGGGTTAAATAATTAATCATATTACATGATCACAGTTCACCAAGTCGCACAAAAAAGGCTATACAAACATTTTTAAGAAGATAAAGTATTTCATTTTACTTGACAAAACAAACTATTCAAATTAACAGAACATTGCGAGCAATACGCAGCTTTCATCGCAGCTACCTGGAAGTTGTCTCTTTTCTCTGTCCCCGGCAGGAGACTGGTGACTTCTGGGGCGTCTGTGTACAGGGGGCGGTGGCGATAGCTTCACCTCTATACTCAAGTCATCCTACACACATGTAACACACCATAAATAACCTAAATTTTTTGGTGTTTATTCCAAGTTATTAGTTGCAAAAGCCTGTAACAAAGATCTCAAGAAACATGGAGGAAGGAAGTGGGAGGGGGGGGGGGAGAGAGAGAGAGAGAGAGAGAGAGAGTGAGAGAGGAAGGAAGTGGGGGGGGGGGGGGGAAGAAAACAAGAAACACACAAAAATACAAGTTTTTTCAAATGTTGCGAAAATAAAAAGACTATCTCTTGAAAAAAACAAAACATGTCCGTCCCACTTCTACAATTCAATAAATGAATTTGATCTTAATAACCTTTTTCATAAGCAACAGTACAAAAAAAGGCCAGCCCAACATTGAACAAACAAAACAAAAAAGCCTGAGAAACAACAATGAACATGGAATTGAAGAGTTCCAGCTAGAGCAAATCAACAAGCAAACAGTCTCTGAAGAAATCTAATTAGTGACATTTAATTCAGAGTCAATTAACTGTGCATTTTCATGTATCTTAGGAGCAAGATTTTAAAAAAAAATGTATTGGGGGGGGGGGCAGGCAAAAGAAGGGAAAGTTTTTAAAATCCTGACTTTCCAACAAGTAAAGATATAACCAAATGTTGGTAATTGCTGATAAGATCTGATTAACCCTTATAGATTTACAAGTTAGCTTAATCAATTTGCCTCTTTAGACCAACGTGTATTTCTTATTCTATTTCACCCATCGGTTATTATTATCATGAGAGTGAGTGTGGCTGTTGTCTGATACCAGTGAAACTCTCCATGTGCGAGGTACACCAAAATCATTTACATCACACTGAAACGTCCAGTCCCATAAACCAACCTTTACACCGGTACAAGGGATAAGCATGTTAAAACATTTAAGATTGAATAGAGTTAGAAACAAAACGAATAGGTCTAAAAACATAATCAAACCTACAAAACTGAATAAAAAACCTTAAATGAATAATATCTGAGGTAACAGTATACTTTGAAAACACTCAAATGAATACATAGAGCAGAAACACATAAATGTAGATAAATACAAAGATAAGTTATATGATTAAAGTGAATTTCTTCAGATGTTCAGTCAACTCTTTAGTGGTATGGTGACACTTCATATTTTTGTTTTGCTAGATAGGTGTTCACAGCAATTCTATAGCCAAAGCTCCAATGAAGATTGAATCTTATGGCATTGTATTTCACAGCACAATTGACAGTGGAAGGTCAAAGGGAGACAAATATGTTGGATAATAAAACTCTCACCACACTGTGTAATGTCAGAGATAAAGGAAGTACAAAAGAAATAAAAGGAACAGGCATAATAATAGACAACATCAACAGGCAATACTTACAGCTGAGTAGCCTCTGGTCCTGGGAAATTCTGTTTGTCTGATCGGGGACAGGGAGGGGTCTTTGTCCAACGTGTGGCCCATACTGCTGTGAGGCCTGAGATAAAAACAGAAATCACAGTTATTCACCTTTGTCCATACACAGCTCATAGTTATATATGTGTTTATCTAAGCCATACACAGCTCACAGTTATATGTGTTTATTTAAGCCATACATAACTCACAGTTATAAGTGTTTATTTAAGCCATACATAACTCACAATCATATGTGTTTATCTAAGCCATACACAGCTCACAGTTATATGTATTTATTTAAGCCATACATAACTCACAGTTATATGTGTTTATCTAAGCCATAAATAGCTCACAGTCATATGTGTTTATCTAAGCCATAAATAGCTCACAGTCATATGTGAGGCATCGTGGTAGAATCAGGCTCCCGTCAATTTTTGGGCATGTTGAGTTATTGGTATCATCTTACAGCTTGTTCACTTGTCTTTATTTGGATGGAAAAAATATCCATTTATCTTGAATACAAGTCAAGATATTTGCGAATGAAGGAGGTGGGGGTCACCTGTTTTCAGAGGTAAAAGTAGTGAGAAAATGTCCGCCAAAGATTAGTTATTTACTTAGCTTAAGAGTCCGTGGTAACTGAAAATTTACATTTTTTGTGCCTTTCATCAATGTTTTTCAGAAAAATCTACACAGAAATGAGTTCTTTAATAGGCATGAAAGGTGTTGAACCAAAAAACAAACATTTGATAAAAATTCATAAACCTGCAGAAAAATGCAAGTTTCTTCACTTTGATTATTTTGACGAGAGCCTGATTTCACCACGCAGCCTCACATATGTGTTTATCTAAGCCATAAATAGCTCACAGTCATATGTGTTGATCTAAACTGTGGTTCATACATAGCTCATATTTACATGTGTTTATTTAAACCATACAAAGCTCATATTTACATGTGTTTATCTAAACCATATAAAGCTTATATATATAGGTGTTTATCTAAGTCATACAAACTCATATTTATATGTGTTTATTTGAGCCATTCAAAGCTCACTGACATAAGCGTTTATCCAAAATGTGGTCCATATGTTGCTCAGAGTTATGTAGTTAATTGTGTATGTCAGCTCAGTACATAGCTAATACTTATACACATTTGTCCAATGTGTGGCCCAAGTATAGCTAAAATAAACATGTATACTATGCTTATTCAACAAGTTTCTCATACATACTTCACAACAAGAAGGAGGAGGAGGAGGAGGAGGAGGAGGAGGAGGAGGAGGAGGAGGAGGAGGAGGAGAAGAAGAAGGAGAAGAAGAAGAAGAAGAAGAAGAAGAAGAAGACAGAATGAAGCCTGTACAAAACAAAACAAGATGGGGATTAGCTAGAGGCCAGTACCTGTCCCTGAAGTCGCCCACACTGGACACCCAGGTGGAGGTCGCCGCTGGATTCCCCAACGCTTTGCCCAAACTGGCGGAGCCGACCGACTCCCCTAGCTCTCCTTCCACCCAATCTGGCAGGTGCTCAGTCTGAGGGAAAAGTATTTGCAGGGGAATGTTATAGGAAATAAGGTTGTGGAATAGTAGCTTAGAAGATTTTTGAAAAACATATTATTTAAATGCATTTTCGTTTTGTTTTTACAAGAGTTTTACGGCACTTGCAACACAATTATGTCATATAAGTACCGAAGATTGGAGGGGTTACGAGACAGTAACAAACACAAAAAAGGAGGGGAGATATGGACGATATATGTTTGATAGAAAAGAAGGAGCAAACCACACCAGCGCACCCGTCAACCACCCAGTTTAATGTTTTATGTCACCATCAACACAAGTTAGATTATTAAGGAGGAGGGCTGCTTTCACCCTACTTGTAAGTTCCAATCTGGGCTGAATGGGATGTAAATCATCCCAGTAAACAAACGGAAATAAAAGACAAAAACTTTCCCATGTGAGAACGGAACTCACTTCTTGGGTGCATCAAAAGAGAGCCTAACCAAGACACCACAGCCGCTGGTTCAAGGTTATTCAAAACAATAAATCATCAGAGTTCCCACAACTGATTAACGCACGCAAGGATTCTCTCTACCACTAACCAGGTAAAGTGTAAAACATAAGTACATCAGGCCCACAATGTGAAAGAGACTTTCTTTTTCCTCAACATAAACATATCATCGATGTTAGGTCTGTTAGCAGAACAGTTACAAAAAAATCAACCCTGCTAATACAATTTAGTGCAGTGAGACTTTTGCACTCAGAACCACACCTTGAACATTAGTTGAATTGTAATGATGCAAAAAAGATCAGTCAGTAATGTGAAAAATGTTTTATTACATGGGATGTCACACCATGATAAACTATGCAAGGAAAAAAATGAATATAGCAAAAAACTATCTGCACGATCATCATCTTTAAATGCTCGGAAACTAATAAGCCACTAAAAGAGATAATAATATTACACTTATTGTAGCATAAATCTTCTTGCCAAAAACTGTCTACTTTTTACATGTTAATTGACCTTTCTGGTAGTCCATCTTTGAATTCTTGTCATCAAAAGTTCATCATTTAAAAAACAATTAATGTATCATATTAATAACTTCCCCCCCCCCCCCCCCAACAAAACACATGCACATACACACATACATGCACGCGCACACACATACAAACACACACACACACACATACACACACAAAAACAACCAAGCAGCTGCAGACCTACACACCACCTTGTCCAGTATCATAAGCTTGCAGACACCGTTGAAGTATGGTGGCCAAAGTTGCCAAAGTCATTTAACCTAGTAGACCTAACTGGATAAATATTGTTATGGTGCAATATTTTTATTTTTAAACCCTACAGATTTGAATGAAGCAATTATTTGATACAACTCTAGTGGTGAGAAGGAATGTGACAAGATATAAAAAAAGCACACACACCTGGTGAAAGTCAGCTGAAACAGGGTCATCCAAATAGATAGACTGTAAAAAAATGTGTGAGAACAGCATTTGGTCAGGTGAAATGTGAGCAGAAAGAATTTAAGTCACGTGCATTCAATTTGAAAAAAAAAAGTGAACCAAAAACCACTTGTCAAAGCATCAGTGATGGAAATAAATTAACCTCACAAAATTAGTGAGTGCAACCGCAAAGCAGAGTGACTGTGGAAAGCACAAAACTCCACTTGACCTGAACAAAAAACTCAAAATGTACAAGAATATCAAGGAGATTAAAATATTTTTTAAAAAATCTTAATCTGTGGGATACATCGCACAAACCTAGAACTTAACAAAAAATATCTGCAAGCCAATATAAAACAAGTGTCTCTGTAATTAATGAGAGATGCATCGGTGAGAGAGAGAGAGAGAGAGAGAGAGAGAGAGAGAGAGAGAGAGAGAGAGAGAGAGAGAGAGGTGGGAGGGGAGGGGGGACTGGAGAGGGACATACACATAGCGATGGGGTGGGTGGGGGGGGGGGGGTGGAACCATAGAATGTTTACTGGCAGAAGATGGAATAACTTAGACTTGAATCACATTTTTCATTATGTAGGTCAAGCAAGGGGAGGAATTTAAAGGTGAGCCAACCGCATATATGAAGTAGAATTCACTTACCAGCATAACAACCTCAGCAGCTGGGAAATTCCTAGACTTCAATTAATAAGGCAATCTAGATACTGCTCAAAGAAAATGTGTGCGTGCATAAACAAAAACAAACTTAGCATTTCGTCCAGATTTAAACTAGAAAAACGGATAAAAAGGAGCAATTACGAGAAGCTATAACTGACTAAAATAGACACACATGAACAAAATCAAAGGCACAGAACCCTGAGGATAGCATGATGAGGAACAGGGACAGCAGATGGTTAGGACATAAGTTGGAATCAGGTCTGACACCCTCAAATGAATCACTTTCTGTTAGAAGAAAAATACAAAACACAGTAGCAAGTGAAGACATAACATTTTGCTCGCCATTTCTAGGGTACACAATAGGTATATTAACTTCTCCCCTGCTTGTGTTGAGGCTGCTAGGTTACAGTTTGGCTTTACGTTATCCTGCAGCTGACAATTATAATCACTTCTCGTTAACAGAAGATGATGCCACCCACAGCCACGTTACCAAGCCAGGATTTCAAATGTACTCTGTCAAGTACTTTAAAAAAAAGTAGGTCAGGTCGTCTGTCAAGATCAACCTGTACAAAGAAGGATACATCGTTTAAGCAGAAAGACAGAGAGACAAGGTAATAACCCCTCTCCCCCACACGCAAACAGGAATGGAACTCAGGTCTTCTGCGTGTTACGGTGAAACGCCTAACCACTACTCCACAGACACCGATTCTGTGACCTGTGATAAAAGCTCCCAAAAGTAGGAAACTAGAATTAGTATAGGATAACACTCTTCTCACAAACACACCATTAACGAGACACGAGAAGGTCAAAGATGTTGACTTTTACTGCAGTAAAAGAAAATGAAATGCCAACCATGTATGGCGGAAGCGGCCTAAGGGCACCCTCCTCCGGTTTGTGGTCAAAAGGCGAACTCAAGGAGCCCTTTTTCAACATCTGGAGCATCAGCTGGGCGTAGGTGTTGCGAATTTTTCTGGCGAAAGAATACACAAATAGACAGGGCCATAGTACACAGTGTGCCAGGGTCATGGAGTCATATTGTATTTTTCAATTCATAAATTTCATTGACCAAAAAGGCACCAATGTTTATAAGCATGTCTACAAACACACACGAAAATGCAACATGGCCATGAACATTCTCTCTCTCTCTCTCTCTCTCTCTCTCTCTCTCTCTCTCTCTCTCATACACTCACGCGTGCGTCCACACACACACACACACACACACACACACACACACACACACACACACACAAAACACATACAAGTACACACAAACACACACATGCGTGCATCACTGCAAGGTCGAATTTACGCCTATATAGCGTGCCATGAATAATGACGTCAGTATCCCGCAGACCTTTGGTTGAGCAGTGCTGTGACACAAGACACTGTATCGTATCCATCATTAAGGGAATTCCTGAATTTCGTAGAGTAACGTTTGTACAAGGTCATTGTGCGTGTCTCTCTGAGGATCATCGGTGGCTGATCCACTCCAGTATGGCGCTTCATTGTCGCACACAGAACGATTGGGGAAAAATTGTTACGGAGTATTCCGGTCTTTCGGCTGGGATGTTGTTTCCCTTTAATCTCGGGTTGGCCCTGATAGGCAAGGTTGGAAGCCCGCCTACTACATTATCCCTAAACGAACTAGACTGTGTCAATATGGGTGTAAAAACAACTACGTTAAAAAAGTATCAACAGGCGTCTGTGGTGCAAGGATTAGTTGGTGAGCTGCTCAATACAAGATGCGTGGGGATTTCTACATTACTACTAAAGAGACACTGTGTTCTAACCAGCCGTATTTTTTGGCCCCGGTGTAGATCATAGTTTTCCAAGGAGCTTTGAAGCACCGCCCATCCCCGGGTCGTGAAATAGTCTTTCCAAACTTCTTTTGTTCTTTATAATTTTTGTTTCACTTATTTGCGTACGGGGGAACCTCAACGAAGTTATACAAATATATCAGTACAAGAGGACCCCAAGCAGGTAAAGTCTGAGAACTCCAGAAAACAACAGGTAGGAGGCCAAAATTCTGAACCGTAGAAAAGGGACATTACCATACGCCACTTGAAGTCAAAGATTGCGGTTTCAAGACAAAGAAGGCCGAAAACGTGTGTAAGGAATGTCGGATAGGGCGGCCTTTGAACTCAAGAAATTGATTTATTTACGCTGAATACACTGATAAGTGCAATGAAAAAGCAAAAAAAGGTATGCAATACATTTTTGTCAAGAGAAAACAAAGAGACACCAAATGTACATGTAGTCACTGACATTGTTTCTTACACAACGTAGTTCTAGCTCGAAATAATCGACAACATATCGAGTACGTTCCATGTTCACACACGGCAGCGCGAGAACAGTCTGAAAGAAGGAAATCATAGTAACCGGAGAAGGGGTGAGGGGCTGGGGGGGGGGGGGGGTCCCTGGAAGGGGGGGGGGGGGTACAAAGCAAAGAGCCATCGAGATGAAGGACCTGTATTTTGGGGGTTCGTTGACTGCATACCCGCTGTTGTCGTCGTCGTCGTCGTCGTCGTCGTCCTTGTTGTAACAGTTGCTGTTGCTGATATTGTTGTTGAAGTCCTTGATGTAGTTGTTGTTGTAGTTATTGCTATTGTTGCTGCAGTAGTCAAAGTCGTATTTGTTAATGTATTGTTGTTGTTGTTGCTGTTATTGTTTAATGGAAGTGGTGTTGGCCAACGCATTCAATGACACGGACAAATTGTTCTCCTCCATAAGTTCCGGTCTACGCGGACTCCGTTGACTTGACTTCACATATTCCCATGATGAGCATTCTGTGATGTTGCTAATAAGAGAAGCAAGCGACCTTACTCTTTTTCTCCCTGCCTTACTCTTATTAGTCCTTATGATTATGAGGCCAGTTTATTGTTTGTACCGCATACACTACATATCTTTATGTTCTTTTATTTTTTAAATAACCATAGAAGTTTTCTTGCTGTCTCCTAGTAATTAAATATGATTTCATGTATTTTTCCATCAGCCCAACTGACCCAGTGTAGTCTCCTTAAAAAAAAACCCATCTCAGTTTCTCAGCTACTTCAGTTCCTTTTCGATTATATTTTTTTGCGTACAGGATTCGCTGCTAGAATCTATGTAAGATAATGGCCCACGCAAGACACACCAACAGTTTCACTTTAAAGTTGATGTTATTCAGTTGGAACATTCAGCCTTCGGCCAAGCCTATTTTGTTCTGTCTTTGGAACATGACCCATTTGTTCTCGCAAGACCAAAAAATTGACATGACTTTGGGCACAAAGCATACAATCACACAGCGACAAGACCCACGTCGACATTGATGAGGTGAGTTCTCCGTGACAAAGAGTCTTATCTCCTATGTTTGTTTATTCACTTTAAGCAAATTCGCTAAGGGAGAGAGAAGCAAATCGGCATGATAGCGGTCATCTAGGGGTCAGGGAAATCCAGAAATGGAGACAGAGGCAACAGAGGGATAGCTAAGTGGTAGAACTTGAAATGACACTCTCTAACCACCCGTCAGATACCAACTCCAGCATCCCCCTCCCCCATGGGCAGTGCTATTGACTGAAGTTGTCTTTAGGCTATTCCAAAAGGGGGGAGGGGGGGATATTAGCATGTTCTTATGCACAGTAGAATTGTAAATGGGCTGATTTATCAATGTCATACTCACACTGTGCCGAAACAACATAGGGGAACTGCTGCTTTTTCTTTCTTCATCCTTACTATCGTCATTTTCCC